CCCTCGCTTCGCGCCCCGAAGCTAAGCTAAGCTAAGCTAAGCGAGGTTTGTTTGTTTGTTTACTTACTTACGCTTTACACTTTTTGGTCACGCACTCACGCACACACGCACGCACACACCGACCCCTATCGCATTCACACCCGCACCCGCCTGCGCCGTGTTGACAGGTACCCGTACCGGTACCGGTACCGGTAGACAGACTACCTAGCACCCAGGGGAGATGTGAGAGGACGAATTAAGCGGGTTGGAGGGGGTTGCTGTGACAGGCTTACTCATTTACTCATTTACTCATTTACTCATTTACTCATTTACTTATTCACTCATTTACTCGCTCGCTTATTCACTCATTTACTTATTTACTCGCTCACTCGCTTGCTCACTAACCCACTCACCCACCCATCTGACCTCGCACCGAGCGTCCAGCTGTCGCGCTATCAGAACTTGTACGCAGCGGCAGCAAGCGTGCTTTAAGAGGTCAGGTCGAGCGAGGGGGGAGCGGGACGAGGAGACCTAGTTGAGAAGGATGAGAGATGAGAGATGAGAGATGAGGGGAGCAGACGGAGCAGACGGAGTAGACGGATATCAGTGACGAGGGAAGGTCGCGCACGGGAAGGAGAAGCCAGGCACGGGTGGAACAGATGGCACAGGGACGTCGAGGAAGTACACGTGGAAGTAGTGCCGTGAAGTTGGGTCATGTATTGCAGAGAGGTGCGTACACTCAAAAAGGTAAATATTTACAAGAATCCCTCCCGATCAGGTCGGTTCCGACATGCCAGCGATCTGATCAAAACCATCGTGCCCCAGGCACCGTCATAAAAGTCATCATAGAGAGATCCAGTCTGGTCCAGTGCATCCGCCCCATCGCATGTATCGTGTTCATTTTGACGCCGGTATCCAAGTTACACCACCACTCCGTTTCGTGCCTGGTAGATGCCATGAAGAGATCAAAGGAGACTCGTGGACGTTCGACTAGCGCGCGTCAGGGGAATGCCGAGAGATCTACCCTCCGAAGCATCATGCTCATACCACACCACACAGGCCTAATTGAACCACCACACGGCTTGGGTACGACCGACCGCAAAGTCGGCCAGGGCCTCGAATGCAGCGTTGGAAAGATCGATATCCTTGTCCTTGCAGGCCATGCACTTGTCGACGACTTTGGCCTGCACGGTCTTCGGGCCGAGCTTGATGGTGACGGTCTTGCCGCAGAATGGGTTCCCGTTGGATTGGGTACCCATCATGCCGTGCGGGAGAGCGATGACCTTCTCCACGCTTCCGTTGTTCGTCCAACCGCAAGCGCCCAAGCCTGCTTCGAAGTAGGTGATGTCTCCCCCGCACGGGCTGCCGGATGAACAGACTCCGCCGCCGGTCGATCCAGCTGGGGCAGAATCATCAGCGACAGGAGGGACGGCGTCTGCGGCGACCGGAGCGGGAGCGGGAGCGGGGACGGGGACGTAAGCAGGTGCCGGGGTGTTCACCGGAGCGGGGGCTACGTAGGCGGGGGGCGGAGCCTCGACTGGAGCCGGAGCGACGTAGACCGGAGCTTCGACTGGGACTGGAACCGGGGCGACTTTGACCGGGGCTACAACTGGCGCTGGAGCCGGAGCCGGAGCGGGAGCCGGAGCTGGAGCGGGGGCTGGAGCGGGGGCTGGAGTAGGGGTAGGCTCTGGTGCTTTCTCGACAGGTGCAACAATGGGGTACACGGGGGCCACCGGAGTAGGGGTTCCGTAGACGGAGGAGAGGGTAGTGCCTGGAGCGGAGGGAGATGGAGGAGACGAAGTGGTTTGGAAGGCTGGGACGTCTAGGACGACTGGGTAAACTGCGACCTCGGGGACGTCTGGGGAGGCTGGGACCTCGGGGACGTTTGTGGGGACGGGAGCACCGTCTTCGATCCAGATGGTTTTGGTAATCGCGACCGTCTCGACGACATAATCCCAGTCGGTGACCCAGTAAATATCACGCTTCTTGTTGTGTCTCTTCATGTGTTTGTGACGATGAGGTTGCGCCATGACGACCGAGACGAGGAGAGCGCCGAGAGCGAACGTGGTGGACTTCATGATGATGGTAATGAGACTGGTGATATTTGCGCAAGGGGTGGAGACGAAACAGCCTTTTCTTCTTCTTCTTCTTCTTCTTCTTCTTCTTCTGGATGTTGGAATGGGTTGTTTGTTTGTTTGTTTGTTTTGTTTTGTTTATTTTATTTTAGTTTGGGATCTGGATTGATCGGACGAGGGTCGACTAGCGACAGATATGGCAGCAGGCTGAATGAGTGAGGGTTGAGGGGTGAGAAGCGATATCTCGAGAGTCGGTGGCTGGGGGAGCAGAGAATGAAGGAATGGAAGCGTACGCAGAAGTACTGGCTCGGGGAAGGAGTGATGAAGTGAGGGGGATCGGTCGGGTGAAGATATCCAGAAGTTGCAGAGGGATGATCGCCTATTATTAAGTAAGTACCAAGTTTTCGGACCCCGGGTTGGCGGGCCACGTCCTTTCCGTAGGTGGCTAGTGACTCTATTAGTGGGCCGGTGGCTGGGGTGAGGAGGGGGTGGGGGGAGTCGGGCTAGGGCCTAGGGCGTAGGGGGGAGGGGTTCTAGGGGGGGGCTTTAGAGGGGCTATAGAGGGGCTCTAGAGGGGCTCTAGAGGGGCTAGGATGCGGGCCGGAGGGAAAAAGGGGAGATTTGCTTGGCAGCGGGACCTGGACCTTCCCTGGACCTTCCCTGGATCTCCCGCGGCTGGCCAATCAAGATTCCATCATCGTCCTCGCGCCCTGACCCGAACCCCTGACGGGGTGCAGCCGCTGTCGTCTCCTGCGGTACAGTAGTGTGATCGATGCCCGGGGATCGTGGTGCTCGTGCTAGTACGTGGGAGGACTAGTGCTACTTAGTCAAGGCGTAGCTGTACAGAGTAGTTGAAGAAATGCCTCAGCGGCAGAGGGGAGATGTTGATGGGCGACGGGCGACGGGCGACGGGCGATGGGCGATGGGCAGCCTGACCGGTGATGGGACTTGTCGATGCAGTACAGTCGTAGTACAGTAGTTGTTGTATTGGGAAGCAGCGTCTCGTCCTCATCCCAACTCATCCCACTATTATTATCCCAACCATCTCAACCATCCCAACCATCCCAACTATCCCATCCATCCCCATCCATCCCATCCCAACCATCCCAACTACAGGTAGGTCCGTACGGTATGCCAACTACGGTATCCCATCCATCCCAGCCCACGCGTGAGCAGAGACCAGCACATGGCGACTCGGGTCGGGCTTCTAAAGCTGAAGAGCACCACCTGGTAACCCCAGCCTGCCAATGGGACAATCCCACTGCGTACCCGCGTATACCTTTTTGGGAGTGCACGCTCGCCTGTCTCACTCCACCAGTATCCCACCATCCCACACTATCCACATCCACACACACACATGGGAACCCCCAAAATCAATTTGGAAAACCAAAAGATCAACAGCTGCAGGAGACGAAACGGCGCACGAATGGAGGGTGTGAGGGCCTGAGTGGGCGAGCCGGGGCGAGTCGAAGCCCCACGGCGGGAAGTCTCACGACCTTCTAGTAGTACTTCTACTCTACCATTCTACCAAGTACTACGTAGGTACCTACCACTCGTGACTCTCTGCCCGGGAGCGGGCAAATCCTCCGCAGGTCAGGGACTCGGGGAGGCTGGAGAGAGAGAGAGAGAGAGAGAGAGAGAGAGAGAGGAAAGAGGAGCTCGATTCTTGATTCCCTGGCCAAGCTTGTCACCATATCTGGGCTATGCTGGGCTATGCTAGGCTATGCTCGGCTGGTGCTGGGCCAATCAAAAAAACAACAACAAAAACAAACACATCCCCTCGTCAACGACTGGTCCGTGACTGGTCCCGGGGTTTCCTTTTTTTTTTTTTTTTTTTCTTTTTTTTGCCCCTCTCCCCCACCAAGCATCGAGTTTTGATCCGGGCTTATTTGGAAGTTTCATTACCGGTGCCACTAATAGTGGGTGCGGCTGGAATTTGACTTACTTTAGTACCACCTTACGGTACGTATCCGCGTTGGATTTGAGATTCCCCAGTGTCTCGGTCCGGCCGAGGAAGGAATGTCGGCCACGGCCGCCGTCTCTCCAGAAGCTCTCTTGGCGCTGGCGTCCATCCTGCTCGTGCTCACGTTACTTCCACTCGATGGTCTTGGACGCGGATGGCGACGCGTACGTACGCACTACGTACTACGTACTACTTACAAGACGTACTGGACTGTACAGTAGCACAGCGGCCAACCCTTGCAAATCCGGGTCCCGATGCTAGTAGTGCTACGTACTTACTATACCGGGCATCACTGTCTCGCGGCCGGAAATTGTGTCTCCATAGGTAGGTCCCTACCTATCCCAGTGCGGCAGGTGGGCAGGACCGGTACCGGCAACCGGTAGTCGCCCGCCCTCGTCGACCTGGCAATCGCGACCCGACGCAACAGCATACAGTACCTAGGTACCTAGGTAAGCATTCATTCGGTAAACATAGGTACCACACGTGGCACTACATACAGTACCTACCGTATACAGGATTGGTTGTACCGGTAGTAGTAAGTACTGGTTGTGCGTGCATGTGATTGATGATGGGCCACGCGCCACGCCACGCCCACGAGCGAAAAGGCGCCGACACGCTGAAACGCACTACTACTCTACTCCTACTCCCCGATGGCGGCTGGAGAAATCGCACACCCGCGAGTCCTCCGCCCGATGCGCACTCCTGCAGTGGCTGCCCGGCCTCGGACGAAGACGAAGAAGGCCTCTTCGGCACGGGGACGGGATGGCACTCGATGCTAGGGGGGAAATACCGGTAAGTAACGAAGAGAGGAGAAGAGAAGAGAATGTGCTTGGTGTACCGGTACCGGTAGCCAGCCACCTACCGTACCCATCCACCTACCCAGCCAGCCAAGGAGACCCCACCTCCTCTACGGAGGAGAGCGTGAAAAGCCGGCCGGATCGGGAAAGGCCGTACACGTCCCGTCCTATCTATCTATCTATCGTTTCACTTCTTTCGGCGCACGAGGAATCTTTGGGCACGGATATTGGTCAGCGGCGGGTTTTCGACAAGATGTCAAATCGACCGGATTGCATATGTATATATATATATATATTATATACATATATACATATATTTCCGTATGTACGCATGACCTCCTGCCCGTCTATTCGCTGAAGCCAGAAGTAAGCTTCTGGTTCTGGCTTGCTAGCATTCATCTCCTCCTTGCACCACTCACCCACTCACTCACCCACCCACTCACTCACTCCCTCCACACCTACCTACATTTCCACCTCACCCTTCAAATCCAAATGCCAGCTCAGAACTCGTATACAACCACCACGCCCTCTCCCCCAGCCCGAAAACGACAGACTACAAACCACTGCAGTACATGATTCCGAGCCGAGAGGCAGACGGCTGGCTGGCTGGCTGGGACGATGGACAATTGACGGGCCACTCATCTACCTAGCTGCGTAGCATTTGTTCCCCGTCATGCTTGTATGGGAGGTATCGGGAGGTAGGTAGGGAGACAGGTCGGCCTGGAACTCCACATCCAATTAATGACCTTTCATGTCACGTTCGGAAACCTGACGAGCCTCTCACTCTCACACGCTGTTTGCCAGCTTTCTCTTTCGGATATCGCAGGTTGGACTTCGCACATCTCTGGAGTGAGAAGTCGGAAATACCGGGAGCGGTCATCAGCTCGAGGGGGAAGAGAGCGCTTGTAGAATGCGATACCAACTCGAGGGGAGGAGCAGCTGTAGAATGCAATACCCTTGATATCCCATATTTCAAGAGCCGTTGTCGAGGTGGGAACTTCATGAACAACTCCGGGAAGTAGGTCAACACCGTACACCTCGTCCAAAGCCAATCCCAGCGCCTGTCTTTCCATATCCTACCATCCAAACGCCATGTCGGAATCCCATGCAAGGCCAGCCCCTAGATTTTCCATCCCTAAAGCTTCAACCTCTCCTCGATGACCGCGACAATATCCTTCCAATCCATCATAGCCCCATCCCCCACATCGCCACAAGCAAGCTCCTTCTCCATCGGCCTCAGCACCTCAAACCAGCCCTCCCCGTCCTCCCCATCCTCACCTTTAACCCCCCACTCCTCCTCCAACACCCTCACCTGCCGGCCCGTAACCGGGTGCCGCCACATCGCCGTATTCATCGCCGGAGCCACCAGGATCCGCTTCTTCTTCTTCTTTTTCATCATCATCCCCTCCCCCTCCCCGGCAACCAGGCCCGTAGTATCCCACGCCCTGACCACACTCGTCAGCAAGTTATCCGCGAACCCGCCCGTGATCTTCGCCAGCGTGTTCGCGCTCAGCGGCGCGATGACCATGGCGTCCGCCCACCGGCGCAGCTCGATGTGCAGGATGCTGTTCCCGCGCTGCCAGGGCACGCTCCACTCCTGCTCGTCGAGGAACACGCCGTCGACGTTGGGGATGCGGCGCAGCGAGGAGAAGTGCGGCTGCTCGGGCGACTGGCCGGCGAGGAAGGCCGACGCGGACTGCGTGAGGATGATAATGATCGAGAGGTCGGCGTGCAGTGCGAGGGCCTGCGCGATGCAGGGGATCTTGATGGTGGCGACGGAGCCTGAGGCGCAGAGGAGGAGGTGCGTTTTGTTGTCGTTGAGGTGCGAGGAGGCAGTGAAGGGGGGGGAGTCGGAGAGAGGGGGAAGGGGGCGCTCGTGTTGGGGGGAGATGGCTTGGAGCATGTTGGGCTTGAGTTCGTCGTGGTTAATCTCTTTGGTAGGAGAGAAGATGATGAGTATGGTTATGGGGGTCGGTAGGTAAGAATAGGCATTTTGTCCTCGTCTTGTTCTGTTGTGAGTATGATGTGAATAAGGGGTGAGAAGGTCTGTCTCTCAGCTCGGTGTGACAAGGATAAGCTTTCCATTGCTCAGCCTCGTCTGATCGCCCAATTGATCGACTCACTATTGGTCAGCCCCGATAACGCGGGAGGGATATGAAGAAGTAAATATCGACATCATCGTCGACCTCGTCCCATCCTGCAAACCACGACAAACCATAATTCATAATGGCTACCAAGATGTTTTCCAGGCCTCTATCATCGGTAACACCCCGTCCTCCTTCTAATCGGTCAATAAAAAAATTAGCTAACAGCAACCAAGGCCTTCAGACAAGCATCCCGTCCGTCATCATTCGCCTTCCAATTCTCCCATCCCAGACGCACGCCCATAGCAGCCCGCTTCCTCTCCACCGAAGTCAAAGCTGCAATCGACAAGGCCGTCTCGTCAGCGCCCGTGGTACTTTTCATGAAAGGCACGCCCGAGACGCCGCAGTGTGGGTTCTCGAGAGCCAGTATCCAGATCTTGGGATTGCAGGGTGTGGATCCGGCGAAGTTCACGGCGTTCAATGTGCTGGAGGACGAGGCGTTGAGGGCGGGTATGTCCTCACTCTCATCTCACTCTCGGGGCAAACCGGAGAGGGACTTACTGGACGGCAAATGTTTGCTGACTGAGGAACAGGGATCAAGGAATACTCCGAGTGGCCGACGATACCGCAGCTGTATGTGGAGAAGGAGTTCGTGGGTGGCTGTGATATCCTGGTGGCGATGCATCAGAATGGGGAGTTGGCGAAGCTGCTGGAGGAGAAGAAGGTGTTGGTTCCTGCTGAGGAGCCTTCGACGTAATGAATGGATGTGAGAGTGAGAGGAGGCTTATACATGTATCAACAAGTGTTCCAATACGGGCAGGGCAATTGAACGATATCCGATACGGAGTTATGCCAGAGATAAGTTTTTTTCTGTTGTGATGTTCATCATGCGACTAGTGGTTTCTAAATTCATATTCAGGGCAGGATCATTGTCAGATTCTCGACAACTGTTGTTGAATGTTGTTACCGTGCATTTTTACGAAATTGTATGAAATTTATTGCCCAGATTATGGGCAATAGATTGTGACTTTGAGCTGTTAGCGAGCTGGGCCGTCTATGATTTCTCGGTTGAACGCGTTACTCGCGGCTTCCTTCTTTGGCTCTCTCAAGACGCCCTCCTCCACATCACACCTCAACATTGGATCCGTCGAGATCTCTTCAACATCTACCCAGGTCAATCGTTCTGTACCCCAATCTCCAAGACATTATGGCTCATCAAGACGCGCGTCAACGCGAGAAGATCAAGCGTGGTGTGGCCTCCCCACCAGGTCGACGAAGATCTCCAAGGCAGCCCCGAAAGCCCGCCAAAATCAGTCTCGCCCGCCCTGACACCAACCCTCCCATCCAGCGCCCAGTGGCCCCTACCAAAGAACCCCGCAAGACCAAGACCAGGCAGACCGTCTCCGTCGCCGGCATCTTCAAGAAGTCCAAGTCGTCTCGCCACAAGCACGACAAGCACCACAGACGCCGAGAGGCGTCCCCGGAGCCTGACCTCCTCGCCGACCTCACCGGTAAGCCTAAGCCCCCTCAGGAATTCGAGGAAAACTCAAGCTGATATGCGTAGATGGCATCGCCGAGGCCCGCGCCGCCCTGGACACCAAGAACAGAGCCAGCTTCGAGAAAGTGCACGCCAGTCTCACAGCCCGGATCGCCAGCACCCGCGAAAAAGACACGGCCTTTTTCCAGGACATGGCTGAAGCCGCGAATAAACTCACCGCGCCCCTCGCCGACGAGCAGGTCCAGTCCGTGACCATGGAGCACGGCAAGCGAGTCGTCAAGATGTACAGGATCGGCGATCGCGTCGAGAGAATCAAGGAGATGGTTGAGCAGGAGGAGAAGAGGCTGGTTGATCTGTGGAGGCAGTGGGACGAGGTCCAGGCTGAGTATGTGGCGCTGGGCGTTGATGTCTTTGGACGCGAGGCGTTTGGGCTGGACGGGGAGGAGAGGGAAAAGGGGTACAAGAGGGAGATGGAGTTAATTGATGTGGAGATTGCGACTCGGGTGGAGGAGTTGGCGGAGGATACTGAGGATATTGGGCCGGATATCATGAAGAAGATGAAGGCGTCGGAGAAGGTCTGTCACTCTCCCCCCGACGTGGTACACATACTAATACTGGACACAGGAACTGGACTCCAATGCGAAGAAGGAGCAGGCGAGGCTCATATCTACTTTGCTTTGAGTTTTCCAGAGTGCGGATATGGATCACATTTGCTCACGATAGCTTATCATAACTGCACACGAAGTAGGGCAGATCTCCATATTTCATGGACCAATAGTAGCAACATCTAGCTAAATGACACCCAAACCCATGCACCCCCAACACCACAGCTAAAGTGCATCCCAGGTCCCATAACTCCTAACCCCATATCCTCAATCCGCCCTCCCTTCCATTTCCGCTTCCACTCAGTAGCCGCAAATCCAAGCGGCCAAACACCAGAGAAGAGCGCATGCCGCGACGAGCATAACCCACAGCACCGGGTACTCTTGGAACTCCCTCACTCCCCTCGCTCTAACCGAATCATCCATCGCGGCGGCAGCGCTGCTGGCGGCACCCCGAGAAGGCTTTTCCTTCTTGTTCCTCCTGCTCCTGCGAGCCTTCTTTGCCATTCGGAGCGCACTGGCCAGTGCAGGAAGTGCAGGGAGTGCCTCCCCTTCGGGGATGCGCCTGGACTCTCCGGGGATGCGCTCCAGGGCGCTGAACTTGTTTGACGTCTTCAGGGACGCTAAAGACTTTGCGGTGCTGGTCTTGGTGGCTGTGTGGCGGAGGTTCTGTGGCTTGGATGCGGCGGGCTCGATGGGGGTTGTGGATGTCACCGTAGGCGCTGGGACGATGGCAGCCGCTGGGACGATGGCAGCCACTGGGGTGATGGTAACCGCTGGGACGATGGCAGCCCTGGGACGATAGCGGCCGCTGGGAAGATGGTAGCTGCTTGGGGGATGGTAGCCGCTTGGGCGATAGTAGACGCTGGGACAATGGTAGCCGCTGGGACGATAGCAGCCGCTGGGACAGTGGCGTGAACAGCAGCGACAGGACGAACCGGGATAGGAAGCTGAGCAGGACTTCCTTTCCCATCGAAATTCTTAAAGTGCTTTGGTATAGCGACGGCAATACGGCGCAGATTTGGGACTTGGGTCGATGCTGGCTTTTGCGTTGCCGGAATCTCGATTTCGCTTTCGGGCATTGAGGTGGTAGTCTCGGTTTTGCTTTGGGGTATCGAGGTGGTAAAAGCCGGTGTAGAGAGCTGATCAGGACTTCCCTGCCCATCGAAAATCCCGAGTTGCTTTGGTATAGCGACGGCAATACGGCGCAGATTTGGGACTTGGGCCGATGCTGGCTTTTGCGTTGCCGGAATCTCGACTTCGCTTTGGGGCATCGAGGTGGTAGAAGCCTCTATCTGAAGAACCGGGCTTAGGACCTGATTTACAGGTGCACTGGTCTCAATGGCCTCAGATAATGCTGCGATATTATCCTGGCAGAGGATTTCCACCAGCTCCTCCCTCGCCTCCTGGACCGCCTTCAAAGAAATCTCCAGGTCATCAGTATGTCTCAGGAGATTCGACACCCAGTCCATGATATCCGCGTCAGATAATTTAGCCGATAGCGGAGTGATGGGACCCGTGGAGGGCTCGGAATTTTCTGCATCGCCGTCGGCCTTCGGCTCACTGTTGCGGATCTGCTTCTTTTCGCTATACTCGGACAGCCCAGCCACGCCCTCATCTTCAAATTCCTCGAATTCCTCGGGAATTGTTGACAGGGTGCTAGTGTAGCTGTAACGAGCTGGTGAATACTCGTCTTCACCACGGGACGTTTGCGAGATCTACCAAACAGAATTCTCTATTAGCCTGACCCCCTGGCATGAACTCATGGACTCGGAACTGCTTACCTGGGTATCGATTTGGACATCCACACGTGCTCTTGACCATGCTCTGGCCTCTTCTGCCTGCTGTTCTTGGTCCTGATCGAACATCTCCTCGTCCCAGCTCTGCTTCTTGATAGTACCAGCAGCAACCTCTCGCTCCAAGGCATCGATTATCCGAGGTGATTCCATCTCGTCTGTGGATATCTATCGTTTCGAAAAGATGGTAATCGGAAGACGGAAAGATACAGAGAGGGAAAGATATGTGTGTAGTAGTACTCGTACTCGTTTAATGGTAGTGGGTGAAGACAAGGCAAAACAGCAATTCAGAAAGCGGTGGAGTGAAGAATGGCTTGTTGACAAGAGTTCAGAGCTGGAGTTATAGCTGGGGGAAGAAGACTGGAAGAAGGGAGGAAGACCTCTGATTTTGTAAATTGGTGGGTGTTGGGTGCGCGGGTTAAAATAAGTGAGTTAGTTAGCATTCTGTTAAGATACTAACCATTCTAGCGCTAGAAAAAGCCACAAAACCACAATTCTACAAGTTGCACAATTTACACAATCTGCAGTGTGCGGAAGAGGGCTTTCGGTACTGGCTAGGGAGGTTATTACCCTCGTTCTAGAGAGACCGAACGAACTAAGGCTTCCGCTTTTTTGGGGGTGGGGGGTATCGATTGGGTATTGGGTAAGGGACCAACTAACATCGCGTCGGGTTCGCTTCGTTCTCCTCCTCTCTCTTTGTATGTCTTTAGCGTAAGCTAAGCGAATTGGTAGGTAGGTAGGTAGGTAAGGTAGGTTAGTACGGATATTCTCTTTCTAGACCGACCTAGGAATTCCGCTCGAGATGAATTTTTTTTTTTTAGGTGGGATATTTAGTTGGGTGAGGAACTAACTAACATCGCGTCGGGTTCGCTTCGCTCTTCTCCTCCTCTCTTTATATATATATATATATATTCAGCGTGGGGTACACTGATGAGGAGGTAGGTGAGCGGATGAAGTTAAGGAGAGCAGATCAATATATCATTGTGTGAATTGAATGAATGGAATCGATAAAGTGGGGGGGGGGGAGGGGGGGCTCTCCAAAAAAAAAAAAGATCACCAGGTAGCTCAGCTTAGCTGGTCTGGTCTGGTCTAGATTAGTTTCCGGATCGGTTCATGCGTGCTTGTACGGTAAAAAAAAAAAAGCGAGATGGATGTCTCACGTCACCTCACGGGAGTCCTTGTTACAAGAATGGAGTTTTTTGATATGGGCTCGTTGAGACGCTATGAAAGGATATATACATGTATGTATGTATGTATGATCTAGATGAGGTATCTCGTTTCCTTTTTTTTAAAAAAAAAACTTTTCTTCTTTCTCCCTTTGACTTTCTCGTTAGCGGAGTCTTTGTACCGTTTAAGTAGGGACTAGAGGTATGCTTAGTTTTAGCTGATATACCGGTATAATGCATGCGTGCTTGATTGTAACACAGAGTTGTTGCTCGAGTTTGGTAAGTAGGCTTTATGTATTTGTATATATGTATATTATACTGTGTATGGGGAATATCATGCTTGCTCAGCGACATAAGTATCTCTCTTTCTTCCTGGAGCGGGAGCGAAGTATACGCACACACATATGAAGTAAGTTGACGTAAATGGCAGGCAGCTTACGTAATCTCAAAGCGAACCTGAGAATGATTCTACTTGCGTACCTATAATACATATAAGAATATATTATAAAGCTTTAAGACTATCTCTCTTTTTCCCTCTTGCCTTCCTTCCTCTTTTTTCTGCTTCCTTTGCTGCCTCCCTCGGTTTCTTTTGCCTTTTCTGCTTCCTTTGCTGCCTCTTTTGCTTCCTTCCCCCCCCTCCTCTCCTTCCTCTCCTTCCTTTTCTCCTCCTTCCTTTCCTTTCTCTCCTTCCCCTTTCTCTTTTCTCTTTTCTTTTTTTTTTTTTTCGAGATCTCTCTCTAGACCGTTTGTACGCTCAGCTTATAGGTAAGCTCGGTAAGGTCGGTAATCTCAAGAGTATCGGCAATATCGATAACATCGGTAACGTCGCTAATATCAATAATGTCGATAAGATTCCAAAAAAAAAAAACCCTCGCAAAGCTCGTCAAGTTTAAAAAAAAAAATTGAAAAAGAACAAAGGTCGAAAAGTAACGAGTCCTAATAGTTCAAAGCCACGTCCTATATCATTTTAAGATTCTGCTATCCGTTACCACGCGTGCTGTTTAATTGACCAATCAATTGTGCTCGCTTAAAAAGATTAAAATGCGGTTGCATTTGAACCTGTATTCTCTTTAGAAGAAAAGAAGAGCATCTTTATTCTACGGTAATAAAGATTGATAAGCGCGCGAAGAGGCTTGGACGCCTTTGCTGTAATCTTTATAACCCTAACAAAGCGAAACGACTGTTCTTCGTTTTAGACTTCAAGTTAGCGGCTTATTCTTTGTAAGTATGACATTTAGTGTCTAAAGCGATTCGTGTTTTTTTAGGCGGTTTTTCAAGGTGGTGGAGCTCGTAAACACTCGCGGAAAAAAAAAAGAGAAGTGCTTTAATTGCTGTTGAAGCGATATTCGTATTCGATTTATTAACTGATAATCGAAAACGGCAATAAGTAAGCGGAAAGTGTAATAGTTAACGCGATTAATCCTGCATTTAATCGAGACGCATTGAGATACAAGCCTGGATGATACTAAAAGTCTGAATACTTGGTCCAAGGAAATAGACCATGGGTAGTATGGTGAATACCGTTATTCGCGAATCCGGCTTTGAGGTTTTGTTATTAGCCTTGTATAGTAAGTACATCTTATCAGATTTGATGAGACGACTATGCATGTAGAGCTAGCGTGTGCGGTATCTCTTCTCCTGTTTAGTTGTTATGCCGGAGTTGGAAACTTGAAGGGGAGAAAAGTGATGGAATGCTATATATATGGCTGCCTTTCCGGTTGATAATATCTGGGACAAAAAAGTAGTTCGGCTGGTTTGGTTAGTAGGCACGTCGCCAACTAACTAACGACCGAGGAGGCAACTAGCTAATTTTTCATCTAGCCCATGTCATTCGCAGGTTGCTTAAGCAAATGCACTACGTCGTGATCCATAGACAGCGTAGGTACTTTGGTGATAGCATAGGTACGCACGTAACCAGCTTGGTAGAGAGAAACATTGAGATTCCTAGGTGTTTCAAGGTGACTCGAGTGACCAAGAAACGGTTATACCGTGGTTCGGCTGTTTTTTTCCTTTCCTCCAGACTTGACGGCTTAGACGGCTTCGACGGAGAGGTGGTGAGAGGTGGAGGTGGAGGTGGAGATGGAGGTGGGCTCGCGTAAGTTTCGTAATCGTCGGCTCGCTTAGGTGGGCCTCCTTTTATCCTTTCAGTCTTAGTCGGCATAAGCGATTGCGGATCGGAAGCGAATGCGGATTTTTTCGAATATGTTAGAAATTCTTTAATACTATAGCATTTATTACTACAACTAAGAAATATTTACATAAATAATTAAACGTTTATTATACCGTCTTCGGAAACATTTAAAATCGTATCATCCGATAAAACATTTGACTATCGATTATTATTTTCATTAGAATTTGATTCGTCTTTTACTTTACGCAACGAATCGTTTGAATCTCTATTATTATTAGAATTGAAGCTATCGCTATCGATATTAATGTTTAGAAAAGGAATAATATTTTGCTTTAAAGAAAGGTCTCCGGTAGTATCGGTTGTAATTATTAGATTATTATTATCGAGAAAAAGTTTAGGTTAAGAAAAAGTTGGTCGAGGAATACCTTTTTTACGAGGCCGCAGAATTTGACGTTTAAAAGGTTGTTGCATCTAACAAATCTCTTCCGAATCGAAAATTAGAATAAGTATTGAATCGTCGTTTTTAATAATTAAGCTTGCAGCGTTTTCGTACAACCTTTTTACGCTCGCGCTTAGCTTTGCGTAAATCGATTTCTTTATAATATTTAGCATTTTTATTTTAAATTTTATCGGTGATTCATTATTATTTTACATTAGATTTAGAAAATTTCTAGCTTGCTGCTCAATAGCAAGCTTTTCATCGATTTAAAATATCAAACTATCGGTATATAAACACGTTTTCGGCTTATAATTAATGAAATACAATTAAATTATATTATTATGAATTAAAAAGTAATATTTTAAGTTGTATTTTGTATATAATAACTAGCAATAAAAGAAAAATCCGCATTCGCTTCCGATCCGCAATCGCTTATGCCGACTAAGACTGAAAGGATGAAAGGAGGCCCACCTAAGCGAGCCGACGATTAGGAATAAGAAGAGGATGGCTTCTGCCGGCTTTAAGAAAAAGACGCCCTCGAATTGATTGACTGACTAAGCCGACGCGGAATTAGCCCGCCCGCGCGGCTCAACTTTCAATTGAATTACGTGAAGTTGGTGAATTAAAGCTCGAATCCCCATCATCGCCAGACCTCTGAAACGAGCGGTGACCAAAAATCCGGACACTTACTTGAATGCGAAGCGGATGCAGCCACGAGCGCCAGGCGCGGCTAGATCGCGATGAGCACGTGAGTAATGCGGTTGGTATTGGACGAGGACGCGTGACGTTCTCTATTAGGGAGGTCCATGGGGTCCATGATCTCTTATCTTGGGTTTTCCTTGTTCCGTATAGGCACATATGCAGGCTAGAAGAAACCTTTGTAAACAATCGCTCATCTTTTTGCGGATGAGTGGAGTGTAACTTTTCTGTTTTCTTGTTTCGTGCCTTTCCCTTCATCCTCGTCAGCGTCGTAGTCATATATATACATATACACATCTTCATTCATCTACCGTAGTCCCGTGCGGCGCTACTGATTGACTAGATCCTTACAATCAATTCATTGACCCTCCTCAGACCTCTCACCTCTTCTCGGCAACATTCTTTTTGCTTTCCCAAGACAAAGAATCCCACTCCTTCAAGTACCAGCAGGTACATACATACATACTACCGACGACCGACGACCGACGACCGACCTCCATCATCACATACCAAAGATCAATCAGCAACGAACCCAATGGCCCCAGCAGCTGTCACTCCTCCTCGGGAGGTCCAGCAGGTCAAGGAACTCAACTCTGCTGCCGTTGCCCGCAAGATTGCTGAGACCGCGCCAGAGCTGACCAACAAGTAAGTGTCTCACTCAATTGCTGCTTCTGTCTATATATTCATCGCCTGTTTTTCCCCATCTCGATCATAGAAACTCGTCCGACTCGTCCAGGCTGTCCGATTTTTTTTTCCGCTTGAGGATCTCAACTGACAACAACACATAGCAATGCCCCCGAAGGTGGTCTGCGTCCATTGGATGCGTCCAAGCTGAAGTTCACCAGAACCACAACCCCCATGGCCGTCCCAGCACCCGGAGATCCCATTATCGCAACCGCCTCCCAATGTACAGATCACATGCTCACCGCAGTATGGAACACAACAACCGGCTGGGCGGACCCCGAGTTGCGACCCTACGGCACCCTCCCCCTGGCACCAACCGCATCCTGCCTCCACTACGCAACCCAATGCTTCGAGGGCATGAAGTTCTACCGTGGCTACGACGGCAAGCTGCGACTATTCCGCCCCGACTGCAACACCCGCCGCCTGCTGATCTCCTCCGTCCGCATCTCGCTCCCAGCCTTCGACCCCAAGGAGCTGGAGAAGATGATCATTGCTATGCTCGCCGTCGATGGCCCCAAATGGCTCCCCGAGCCTGGGTCGTACCTCTATCTCCGTCCGGCTATAATTGGGTCCGCTGGTGCTCTTGGTGTCGCTACGCCCAAGGAAGCCACCCTCTTCGTAATTGCCTGCTTCATGCCTCCTCTTAGCCAGGTCGGCGGGTTAAAGCTCCTAGCCTCGACGGACGGCGTACGAGCCTGGCCTGGTGGATTCGGCTACGCCAAGGTTGGCGCGAACTACGGCCCCAGTCTGCTCGCTACCGGCGAGGCTAAGCAGCGAGGGTACGATCAGGTTCTGTGGTTGCTGGACGGCAAGGTCACCGAGGCGGGCGCAAGCAACTTCTTCATTGTCTGGAAGACGACGGAAGGCAAGCTGCAACTGATCACGGCGCCGTTGGACGACAAGATCATCCTGGACGGTGTCACGCGCAGAAGCATCCTGCAGTTAGCTCGGGAGCGGCTCGTAGACGGCAACAGCAAGCTCGACGCCCTTGAGGTTGTCGAGCGGAACTTCACCATGGATGACGTTGTTGCCGCTTCCAAGGAAGGACGGATCCTTGAGGCTTTCGCTGCTGGCACTGCTGTACGTGTCTCCACCCCCAAACTTCGACCCCCTCCTCTCTCTGTGCGTGTGCTAACGAACATGGTGCAGTTCTTCGTGTCCCCAGTCTCCGTCATCAACTACAGGGACAAGGACATCCAGATCCCCATGGGCAGCGGAGAGAGTGGCGAGTACACCAGCCTGATCAGGACGTGGTTGTTCAACATCATGTACGGCAAGGAGGAGCACGAGTGGGGTGTCGTGGTCGAGGAGGAGAAGCAAACCGTAGCGTAGATCTCTCTGGACGTCTTTGCGGCGAGAGGAGGGACCTTTCTGCCTGGGGAGTTTCGGCGTTATAGCCATGGTGGGTGGGCTGGATAGACGTTTGGAAAGGTCAATGCAAGTAAGTCTTGAGGCATAGCATAGCATGGCACAGCATAGAGCGTCCCTAGCAAAAGCACATCGATCGGCGTCTATAGAAATAAACTCATTGGGCGTAAATACGCTCTCTCTCTCTCTCTCTCTCTCTCTCTCTCC